CGCCCGTAATCCCAGCACTTTGGGAGGCCAAGGCGGGTGGATCACCTGAGGTCTGGAGTTTGAGACCAGCCTGGCCAACCTGGTGAAACTCCCTCTCTACTAAAAATACAAACATTAGCCAGGCATGGTAGCTGGCAACTGTAATATCAGCTACTTGGGAGGCTGAGGCAGGACAGCTGCTTGATCCTGGGAGGTGGAGATTGCAGTGAACCGAGATAGCACCATTGCACTCCAGCCTGGGCGACAAGAGGAAAACTCTGACTCAACAAAAAAAAAAAAAAAAAAGTTTAAGTGTTGCTGTTTGATTGTTGTATTACATGGATGATTATGGAGGTTCTTAATACCTAGATTTAGCTCTTTTGTAGGCATGGAAATTTATTTTTATTGTATACATTGATTAGCAATTTTTTCAAGAACCTATCCTACCAGCTACAGGCAGCATCTCTCAGCCCTGTCTCCAAAGACTGCCCATTTTTACCACACATGCCTCATCTATGCTTGTTTCATCCTTTCATGCTTTTGATATACATGTTTCTGACACTCTACTGTTTTGTGATTGAATTTCTGAAATTTGATTGGAAAACTATGGGCTTGTTTTATGGCCTGCAATGAAGAGGATATAATGGTAATGAAGTATTTTTGGTTTTGGTTTGTTTATTAAAAATCTTACCCTGCTCTCATGTAATAGATGTTGTATTGATATTTGGACCTTTGACCTTTTATTTCAAAATTCCACTTTCTGTGTCTCCATTTCAGGTGTTACCAAATATTTCCAGTCTCTGGTTCCCTTATTCTTTCTCTGGAAAAGTTTCTGTCCGGCTCTAGAGAACCTAACCTGGGGTTGCAAGTCTTCCCTGACGCTGTGTACTGCAGAGAGATCTTTACATGAGACCTGCAAGGGGACAGCATCACAATATTTCTGCAGAGGAGGCTCTGGCCCTTTTTCTCACTCCTCAATGCTCTACATCCTTCTCATTCACACTTGGATCTGAGAAAATAGACCTGAATGTCACTGATGTCATTCTCAGCCCCCTCCCAGCTCCTCCTTCTCCATTCCTCCTCTAAATCTTGAGCCTGGCCTTCTCCTCTGTCCACACTCTCACTTGCTGCGACCTTACCCCCAGTCTTCAGTGATTCCCCAAATGCATCCGCTACGTCCCAGCTGTTTTTTTTTTTTTTTTTTTGAGACGGAGTCTTGTACTGTCGCCCGAGCTGGAGTGCAATGGTGCGATCTCAGCTCACTGCAACATCCACCTCCCGAGTTCCAGCGATTCTCCTGCCTCAGCCTGCCAAGTAGCTGGGACAACAGATGCCCGCTACCATGCCCCGCTAACTTTTCGTAATTTTAGTAGAGATGGGATATCACAACGTACGTCCTGGCTTCTTAGCACTAGCTCTGTGGTTGGTGACTGCACTCGGATGCCTCATGGCCTCTCAAGTCGAATGTAGCCCAGAACTCTCCTCCCCCGACCCTCTCCTTCCTCCTCCTCCTTGACTTTCCCATCCCAGGAACTGGCATCAGCATCCACTCAGCCACTGACACTGGAATCCAGGGTCACCCTCAATTCATCTTCCCCTCACCCCACAGCCAATCAGGCAGCAAGCCTGATACCTCTACCATGCACACATGTCCCAGCTCACACCAGTTCTCAGCATCTGCACACTCCTAGCCATTGGGTCATTTACCTGATATCTGTTGAGGCTCATGTGCCCGAGCCTGTGTATAACCTGGGACTGAGCAGGAAGCAAAACAGACATGGACCCCTGCCTCTGCTGGCCGCCTTTCTCATAGGCTGCCATCCTGTCTCACTCGGACAACCACAGCCACTCCTGGCTGGTCTCCTGCTTTGGGCAGTGGCTCCTGGGATTCATCCTCCACCACCCGAAATCAGGTATGGCACAGCCCTGCACCAGCTCTACAGGGCCTTGTAAAGCCTTGGGTGATGTGCTTCTGCCTAGGGTGACCAGGTAAAACACAAGACAGCTAGTGAAGTTTGAATTTCAGATAAACAATGAATAATCTATTAGCATGAGTATATTCCAGTATTACATGGTATATCCTTATACTAAAGACGTTGCTGTTCACCTGAAATTCCACCTCTCTGGGCAGCCTGTGCTTCTGTTTGTTGACTCTCGCCATGCTACTCCAGCCTCTCCCCGGCCTCTGTTCCTAACACTTACTTGCCACACAGACTTCCTGTTCCTTGAGCAGGCTGTCTTCATTACTGCCTCAGGACCTTTGTTCCTTGTGCTTAATGTCCCTCTACCAAATCACAGTGGCTAGCTCCCTCTTGTCACCAAGGTCCCAGCTCTGTCACCTCCTTTACCCCTAAAGGAAGCTGGCGCTCTCCCACCCAATGACTCTTCCCCGCGTCATCCTGTTTTAGCTTATCATGATGTTTACTAAAATTATTGTTTGAACTGGGCATGGTGGTTCATGCCTGTAATCGCAACACTTTGGGAGGCCGAGGCAGGCAGATTGCTTGAGCCCAGGAATTCAAGACCAGCTTGGGCAACATGATAAAACTCCATCTCTACAAAAAATACAACAATTAGCTGGATATGGTCACACACACCTGTCGTCCCAGCTCCTCCACTGGGGTCGGGGGAAGCAAATGAGTGGGAGGACTCAAGGGTAGGGGCTGAGAGGTGGGAGGATGACTTGAGCCGAAGAGGTTGAGGCTGCAGTGAGCTGAGATCTCACCACTGCACTCCAGCTTGAGGGACAGAGCGAGATCCTGTCTCAAAAAATTTTTTTTCTTGTTTATTTGGATCCTTAATGGACTGCTGTGCTCCTCACTGAGACGTTAGCTCCAAAAAGGCTTAAAAGAGCAAGAGCCTTGGGCATTGTGTCTGTTGCTACATCCCAGCACCCTGAACAGGGCTCAGAGGAGGCTCCAATACATGTTTGTTCAATGAACGAATGAATGAACTGAAGACCTCTTTCAATCAAAGCAGTTTGAAAATCACGGGTCTACAATTTCAGGGATGAGAATCTGCAGGGATTCTGGCAGGAGAAATGGGAAGCATCATTTTGTTTTTTTCTCCGATTTCCTAAAATTTCAAGGCTAACCAAGTCTCCAAGCCTGGCTGCTGTTTTATCTATGAAAGCAAAGTCAAGTGTGCAGGGGAAATTTAGAGAATGACAGCGTCTCTAATTCCAAATAGAGTCATGGAGCAGCTGGAAACTGAAGGAAGCTCTCTCCACTGGCACCATATACCCAAGAAGAAGGCAAGTTGGGGAAGCTGCCGCTGCTGCCGTAGTAATGAGATGATTTGGCCCCTGGGAAGTCCAGGCAGCAGTGTGGTGTTGGGGAAATCTATCAACGGGCAGAAGTGTCTGGGGAAGTCTGAGGGAAGCCTCATGGAGAGACTTAAATATATTTCTTTCTTCACAAGGAAACAGGGAAGAACAGAATCTCCATTGAAGCAGAACTAAGAGTTTGTTACATCAGCCATCGTGAAATGGTGTTTTACAAAAAGAAAGTGCCACATGTATGTGTTTTCTCTAGTGATAAAGTGATTCATAACAACAGCATCAAGTGGAACAAAATCCCTCCATGAGCGTCTATAAAAATTATAGCTCCAGGTCCAATTAGCTACAATTGCATTAGTTTGCATTAGTTGAAAGCTAATTCACTGAAATTAAGCCCAACTGGCCAACTTGGGGAATGCTCGATTTGTCAAAGAAATTACTTCTTAAAGTTACCAAATGTACTGATTGTGCTTTTAAAAGCCTTTAAAAGGCAAGTCGAATTTGATTACTGATGATGAAAGATTCTTTTCTGCATATTAACTAAGCTAAGATTGATACAGCCCCAGAGAAATTGACAAGGGAATCTTGAAACTGCTGTATGAATAATAAAACACAAAACAGCACAGACTAAAAAACCATTGCCAGTATGAAATTCCATTTTTCCAACCAAAATGTTGACCTTTCATTTGTTTGTTTGTCTGTTTGTTTGTTTGAGACAGAGTCTTGCTCTGTTACCCAGGATGGAGTGCAGTGGCGAGATCTCGGCTCACTGCAACCTTAGCCACCGAGCTTTGAGCAATGCTCCTGCTTCAGCCTCCAGAGTAGCTGGGATCACAGTTGTGTGCCACCACACCCAGCTAGTTTTTTTGTAGTTTTTCTTGTAGAGATGGAGTTTCACCATGTTGGCCAGGCTGGTCTTGAACTCCTGACCTCGGGTGATCTGCCTGACTCAGCCTCCCAAAGTCCTGGGATTACAGGCATGAGCCACCACACCCGGCCTGACCTTGCATTTGTGATAGGATTGTTTTGGCTCCTTGTGACTTTGTTCAGATGCTCTGGAATGGTTTTTTCCTCTCCCAAGCTTTTAGCATTTTAAATATTCTTTGCTAATTCTTCGGATGGCATATTGGCCTTACTTTTGCACTTTTAACAATTAAAATGTAATTAACTTGAAATAAACTTTCGTCAATTAAATTTAAAAAATGTAAAACCAAAAGAATGTAAAAGAAATCAGAACTTTTACCAGTTGGTCATTCAATGGATTGGCTATCAGAAAATTGAAGTTTTGGTGAATTATCTCACTTTGAAAAATTGACATCACTGGAAATCTTGGGCTATAACCACCCACACAGAAAATAGACTGACTTTAATTTATTTCCTCTCGGTGCCTTTCTGTGCTCGTCAGGTGCAAGAGCAGCAGCAAAAATCCTAAGAGCTGGATCCTGCGCAAGTGAGAAAGGGCTGGCCGTGTCCTCCCACTCTATCTGCTTCCCAGAGCAACTGGCCTCAAATTTTAACTTTAGTTTAAAAAAGCTGCAGCACACACAAACTGCTGTTCGAATTCCACGATAACAAGACTCCAAGCAACCCCACAGAGATTTCTAAGCTGTGCTCCTAACTCAATTATTGTGAGTGCAGCAGAGGTATTTGTTCTGCCAGGCAGATCTCAGAGGTCAGTCTCGTGAGGTGTTTCTCTCGCCTGGTGGCTGCCCCCACCTGCCCTCCCCCATGGGCCAGCCATTACCCATAGAGCTCCTTGCAGAGCAGCGTGGTCAGTTTCTTCAGGTGAGGAAGACTGCTGGACCCCGTCTTCACAAATTCAGAGTCCAGGACGAGCTGAGTGCTCAAATAATCTTGGATGGCCTTAAGATGCTCTTCTGGAAGACTAAAAGAAAAGAAAAAAGAAATAAACCATGCTTGCCTGTTCCTTTTAAGCATCATTACCAATGGTAACAACAACCACAATAACAAATCCTCATCCTCAGAGCCTCCAAGGGGACACGGTCCTTCAGGAGAAGGTTTGCAAACCTGGACAAAGGTTCCTGTGGTCTCACTGACAGGGTAAATTAGTAGGTCAGAGCAAGAAGAGGTGGCCGAGCAGGAAAGGTGCCTCTCAATGAGCTCCTTTAGGCGCTGCTGGGAGGAAGTGGTTCTGGCTAGGGGGTCTGGGAAATGGTTATGCTTTAAAAAGGAGACCAAGACTGGGCTTGGTGGCTCACACCTGTAATCCCAGCACTTTGGGAAGCCAAGGTGGGTGGATCACCTGAGGTTAGGAGCTCAAGGCCAGCCTGGCCAACACAGTGAAACCCCGTCTCTACTAAAAATACGAAAATTAGCCGGGCATGTGGCAGGTGCCTATGATCTCAGCTACTTGGGAGGCTGAGACAGGAGCATCATTTGACCCCAGAAGGCAGAGGTTGCAGTGAGCCAAGATCATGCCACTGTACTCCAGCCTGAGTGACAGCAAGACACTGTCTCAAAAAAAAAAAAAAAAAAAGAAAAGAAAAAAAAGGAGACCAAAAGCTTTGGAATGTATATAGTGGAATTGTTTTCCTATAACATCTACTCACGACGATAGGATCTGAGGACTGATAGGATCTAGAGATGGTAAATGGCTTTAGCTAACACACACACTGCAAATTCACAGCCAAAGCCTACCCAGGACACTGTGTTTGGAGGGTGTGGAGTCATCCCAGGCTGCAAAGGGGAGTTTGAGTGATTAGTGATGGGGGTGGGGATGGGGGGATGAGGTAGTGCAGCTGGCTGACTGCCGTGCCGAATTTGCCCCAACCCTTCAGTGTACAGTGAATGGGCTGAAAACAGGATTTGTTCACCGTGCAGATCAACCCTGGTGGCAGAGCACAGACTGAGCCCAGGCCAGTCCCTCGAGGGGCACCCCCTAAAGTCAGATCAGACCTCTACATTCTATCTTCCAGCACCTTTTGCTCTGGGTAACGCTTGAGTCTTTGTTCCCATAATAATGAAAATTGTAATAATAGCAAGTATTTCCTGAGCAGAACATGCCAAAGACACTGTGCTAAGCACTCTATGCTCATTTTCTCCATTAATCCACAAATCAATTTTATGACTCAGACATTATTACTACTAATTATTCCTGCTTTACAAATCAGAAACCTGAGGCTTAAGACAGAGTCTTGCTCTGTCGCCCAGGCTGGAGTGCAGTGGCGTGATCTCGGCTCACTGCAGCCCCCGCCTCCCAAGTTTAAGCGATTTTCCTGCTTCATCCTCCTGGGTAGCTGGCACCACAGGTGTATGCCACAATGCCTGGCTAATTTTTGCATTTTTAGTAGCTTCACCATGTTGGCCAGGCTGGTCTTGAACTCCTGACCTCAGGTGATCCACCCACTCGGCCTTCCAAAATGCTGGAATTACAGGTGTGAGCCACCACCCCAGGCACCCTTAAAGATTTTTGTTCCAGGCTTGATATGTAACCAAATAGAAACTAAAGGCCACAAAGCTTTTCCTGTGGAATCTGTGAAAGAATGAAAAACCTTTGCTCTTAAGATTGGACAGGATCACCAGGCACGATGGTTCACACCTATAATCCCAGCACTTTGAGAGGCAGAGATGGGCAGATCACTTGAGACCAAGAGTTCAAGATCAGCCTGGTCAACATGGTGAAACCCTGTCTCTACTAAAAATACAAAAATTAGCTGGGAGTGGTGCCATGTGTTTGTAGTCCCAGCTACTTGGGAGGCTGAGGCAGGAGGATTGCTTGAACCCGGGAGGCAGAGGTTGCAGTGAGCTGAGATCACTCCACTGTGCTCCAGCTTGGATGACAGAGCAAGACTCCGTCTCAAAAAAAGAAAAACTATTGGCCAGGACTGGCTTACCCATTTTCACTTGTTAGATTGAGAAGTTAGCAACCATTTACATTTAAGTTCATCTGTATTTATTCTGGGTCTTGACATCATGAAAATCCAGTTTCTGCCTGAGTCTGTTTACAAAAAGGGACAAACATTTCTTCTACAGTATTAAAACAGTGGTCCCCAACCTTTTTGGCACCAGGGACCAGTTTTGGGGAAGACGGACTGTGAGGGTATGGTTTTGGGAGGAAGCTGTTCCATCTCAGATCATCAGGTGTTAGATTCTCCTAAGGAACATGCACCCTAGATCCCTCGCATGCGCAGTTCACAACAGGGTTCACGCTTGTATGAGAATCTAATGCCACCGCTGATCTGACAGGAGGCAGAGCTCAGGTGGTCATGCACACTTGCTCACCGCTCACCTCCTGCTGTGCCGCCCAGTTCCTAACAGGCCAGGGGTTGAGGACCCCTGTATTAAAATATGTATCTTAACAGGTCTAACGACTATTGCCTTGTAACTCAGATACCATGAGTCCGTGTTATAGGCAGCTCTATTTGTTAACATGTTTGTTGTAGAAAGGTGTTGACATAAAGATGTAAACTATGTTTATTTGAGAAGGCTAATTTGACTTAGAAATGTAACAATTAACCTATTAACTAAGACCAAACTGATGAGATCTAATTAACTTGCAGGAAAGACTGTACAAGTTGTCTTATAAAGGAAAATAATCAAAAGGCAATCCTCAATGTACAAAGCTACTTGACAAGTGAAATAGATTAACTTTAAAACACAATGTGGGCTGGGCACGGTGGCTCACGCCTGTAATCCCAGCACTATGGGAGGCCAAGGTGGGCGGATCATGAGGTCAGGAGTTTGAGACCAACCTGGCCAACATGGTGAAACCCCATCTCTAATAAAAATACAAAAAATTAGCTGGGCATGATGGTGGGCGCCTGTAATCTCAGCTACTCGGGAGGCTGAGGCGAAATCGCTTGAACCCAGGAGGCAGAGGTTGCAGTGAGCCGAGATGTCACCACTGCACTCCAGCCTGAGTGACGGCGTAAGACTCCATCTCAAAAAATATAAGATAAAATAAAAATACAATGCAGAGTCCCAGTTTTCCTTGGCCCTGGGAACAGAGGGCAGCTCTGGGTTGCCTCTTTCCTTGGTCTCTGCACATGCTCCCTTCACTCATTCCCGTCTCCAAGCAGAAGTTATAGGAAGGTTCCACCACCACGAGAAGCAAAGATCGAAAAAGCAGACCTCTGCTTGTGAGTCCTCAGCCCATGCCCTGATGCTAACCCCTCCCGGAAGGCTGCCTGGAAGCTTGGCTTCATGCCGAGGCTGGCTCCACTGAGGCAGAGCCCCATACCCAGGGTGGAGGGGCTGATTAGGAGATGGAGTCGGCAGGAGGTATAGGAAAGAGCCTTAGGAGGAGAGGTCACCAGGTGAACCATGAGGCGTCCCCAACTTTTCCCCATGCGGTTCACTGTATTCAGCATCTAAACCTGGGAAGAAACGGAAACCCTGGGGAACTAAACAATGGGCTCTATGTGGAATTTTTTTTTAATTTTTTTGAGACACAGTTTTGCTCTTGTTGCCCAGGCTGGAGTGCAGTAGCTCGATCTCGGCTCACTGCTCGATCTCCGCCTCCCAGGTTCAAGCGATTCTCCTGCCTCAGCCTCCTGAGTAGCTGGGATTACAGGCGCCTACTACCACGCACAGCTAACTTTTGTATTTTTAGTGCAGACGGGGTTTCGCTATGTTGGTCAGTCTGGTCTCAAACTCCCGTCCTCAGGTGATCAGCCTGCCTCGGCCTCCCAAAGTGCTAGGATTACAAGCAGGAGCCACCGTGCCTGGCCTATGTGGAATATTTTAAAAGTATGGAGACAATCAACATAGTAGCAACACTGGATATTCAGCTATTTGATAAATAGCGTAAGTAATTCAAGGAGCATGCACAGAAAGCAACCTGGAGTGCCCAGGGAAGACCCGATGGGTATGTCCAGGTGGAAACAGTAACACGCTAAGTATCGTAGCAACCCCGTGGCACACGTGTCCCATCAGCATTTATGTCATATTTTGCTAAGTCAGAGAGTAGAAGGGCAGCGCTGGCAGTCTCAGATGGACCCCTCAAGTTGGAAATGCGGCTTCAGCCCCGTCATTAGGATTTCTTTGGGAGGCCAGGGGAGCTCTTCTCACAAAGAAACAAAGAAACAAACAAAAAACATTAAATTTACTAAGGCATGGAGGTTACCGGGTACTAATTAATTACTAATTAATGTAGCACATATCCAGTGAGTGCTTACACTATGCCGGGCCATGCCTGGGGACACAGTGCGCACCCCCCCGCCCCCCTCCCCTCTGCCCCCCCTCCCCTCCGCCCCTCCTGGAGCACTTTTCCAGGAGGCTCATGCCCTTGGCCTTTTTATTTTTATTTTTTTTTGAGGTGAAGTTTCATTCTTGTTGCCCTAGCTGGAGTGCAGTGGCACGATCTCGGCTCACCACAACCTCTGCCTCCTGGGTTCAAGCGATTCTCCTGCCTCAGCCTCCCACGTAGCTGGAATTACAGGCATGCACCACCATAACTGGCCAATCTTGTATTCTTAGTAGAGATGGGGTTTTTCCATGTTGATCAGGCTGGTTTTGAACTCCCGACCTCAGGTAATCCACCTGCTTCGGCCCCCCAAAGTGCTGGGATTACAGGTGTGATCCACCAAGCCCGGCCACCTTTGGCCTTCTTGAAGCCAATGGTGCAGAGCCCTCTGAGGTGCAAGATGACAAGCATCCCTCTCCAGAGACCACCCCAACCCCTCTGGTCACCAGGCCCATAACTAGGATGGAAACGGAAGCCACCCAGCCAGGGCTGGGCTGAGCTCACTGCAGATGAAGCCCCAGCTGGACTCCAGGGACCCTGCCTGGTGGAGACTCACCCACTGGTGTCCATGCTTTGCAGTCTCTGGAATAATGTCTCAGAGAGGCTCGGCCGGCTGGCCTCGGTCGCTCGGGGATTCTCGTTTGAAAGAGGAGCTTCCTTGGCCTCACAGGAGCCAGCGGACAGAGGGATGTTTCTTGGGGGCAGCTCGGGTGGAGACAGGACACTTTCTACTAGAGAGAACAGCAAGAAGGCCATTGGTGAGGACGCTGTGTGCGCAACCCTCCTTTACCGCAGCCCCGTGGGGTCCAGGCCATAAGGCCCAGGTTACTGATCTCCATCTGCATTTCTGTGTCCATCCCTCGCTGACTCCCTCCTGGAGGGAGGGCCCTGTCGAGCGCAGTGTCTGTCCCACCATGGCTTCAGCAAACACCTGCCAGGGCCAGAAGGCCCTGCTCCATGGAGGGCCTGGACGGCCTGCCCAGCTGCTGACCTTGGATGGACTAAGCCAGCTGCGGCAGGCAGGTCAGCAGGACGGGCCTGGCTTTCAGGGGCTGAGGCAGGTGACTGGTGACGGCTGAGCCCTGGACGGGGCAGAGGCCCATTTCCAAGAATTGGCCAAAACCACAGGAGGGGACCAGGGGTGAGGAGGCAGGCAGGCCTAGCCATGCACCCCCTCCTTCCCTCCCTGGCCCCCCCCGCACCCTCTCTCCAGTCCCTGCTCTTCCTTCTCTCCTCCCCCAAACCCTCAGAAACACATAAAAGAAGGCGAGGGGGTTCCCTTCGCTCAGAGACATTCAACAGATAACTTGAACTTGGCCTAGGAGGTGGAAGCCCATCCACCTCCTTTAGGAGAAAGTCCATCCTGTATGTACCATGAACAGATAAAGGTCGCTGAGCCCCTGAGGTCCAGGGCTCGCTCTGGGCCTCTTCTCACACATAGTGGCCGCCCCCGACCCAGCCACAGTGGGCCCCGGGGACCTCCTCTTTAGAGAACATGCCCTTCACTTCCCCCGTCTGGGGTTCTGAAGACAACTCGGAGTCTGCTATGAACCTACAAGCTAGCAGTACCTCCAGAAGCCCTGGGCCGAAGCAGATCTCTTGGAATAGGGGGCCTCCTGTCACATTGCTCTGGTTTAAGCCGACAATTGGGTGGCCCCGTTTGGGGAAGTGAAGCCAGCAGTCATGAGACTGAGGTTCTTTTTTTGGCCCTCCTAGAAACTTGTCTGGGTCTTTCTCCAGACAGCCATGCCCAGACGGGCCCCACTAGCTGGGGTGGGTGGCCCGAGGGAACTGAGGGTGGTTAGTGTAGAGGGCATTTCTGCAGGACAGCTTCTCAGGGTGGCCCTGGGCGCCTGGGGGCAGCTGGGGCAGGTGTGGCCAGGGCACGGTGCTTGTGAGTGACCTTGGGCTCACCCTGGGACAGTGTCTGACAGGACAGGTCAGCCCTGGCTCTTCCACAGCCTGGCCTTCCTGATTCCAGAGGGCAGTGTTCACTCAGACCAGGGAGGACGGAAGGGACAGGGCCTGCCTGTGGCCCTTTCAGCCTCCATGGAGCTGTGGTCCTTTAGGAAGTGAAGGGCTGCACAACCATGAAAAGGGTGTTTCCAGGAGGAAGGGAAGAGGCAGGGGGCCCTGGTGGCCCACAAGCCAGCCTACAGGCAAGGGAGGAAAAGGATGCCTGCAGCAAGCCCCCAGGACAGGCAGGCGCCAGGCAAGGAGCTCAGCATCTCTGGATGAATCTTTCTTCTCTTGGGGGGAAGCCTGCGGGACCTGGTGGTCTGCACCTGGGGAATTCAGGAAGAGCCCTGGCCAACTGAGGGGCCCAGTTAGGGGTATTTCATAGTTTTCTTTTAGGAAATAAACCTTTTTTTTTTAAACTTGTATTTAAGTTCAAGGGTACACGTCCAGGTTTGTTACATAGATAAACGTGTGTCATGGGGTTTGTGGTACAGATCATTTCATCATCCTGGTATTAAGCCTAGTACCCAGTAGTTACTTCTGCTCCTCTTCCTCCTCCCACCCTCCTCCTGCCAATACACCCCAGTGTCTGTTGTTTCCCTCCTTGTGCCCATATGTGCTCATCATTTATCTCCCACTTAAGTGAGAACATGTGGTATTTGGTTTTCTGTTCTTACGTCAGTTTGCTAAGGATAATGGCCTCCAGCTCCATCTATGTCCCTGCAAAGGACAGGATCTCATTCTTTTTTCTGGCTGCATAGTATTCCATGGTGTGTATGTACCACATTTTCTTTATCCAGACTACCACTGATGGGCATTTAGGCTGATCCCACGTCTTTGCTATTGCAAATAGTGCTGCAATGAACATACACGGACATGTGTCTTTATAACAGAATGATTTCTATTCCTTTAGGTATATAGTCAGTAAATCCTTGAGGGGAAAAGCGGGGCTTCCCCAGGTAAGCTCCTTCTCTGCAAGACTTTCTCCATCTGACTCTTGCTCTGTGCTCTTTGTCCCTATGCTGTAAAGGGCACACCTAAGGCTCACATACTTTTTAGGGACTGCACATTTTTTTCAACATATTTTTAGGGGATGCACTTCCTCCACCCCCTTTTAATGATGACATAAAGAAACACCTTCCTTGGCTGAAGTGTGGTGGCTCATGCCTGTAGTCCCAGCACTTTGGGAGGCCGAGGCTGGTGTATCACGAGGTCAAGAGATTGAGACCATCCTGGCCAACATGGTGAAACCTGTCTCTACTAAAAATACAAAAATTAGCTGAGAGTGGTGGCGCGTGCCTGTAGTCCCAGCTACTCAGGAAGCTGAGGCAGGAGAATTGCTTGAACCCAGAAGGCGGAAGCTGCAATGAGCCGAGATCGTGCTACTGCACACCAGCCTGGCAACAGAGCGAGACTCTGTCTCAAGAAGAAAAAATTAAAAGAAATATCTTCCTCATCCTTCCAGTTAGGTGAAAGGGTCCCCTCCTTCACCCTCCTCACAGTGAAATTCAGCGGATTGCAATGATGCTAATGACCGTAGCTGTGTGTATTGAGAGCTTACTATTAATATGTAATTAATATGTACCCGGCTCTGGGCGCTACATTTCTTAATTCATGGGATACCACGAGAGGCAGATACTATTTGTTATTCTCTCTCTCTCCCCCCATATATATATATATATATATATATATATTTATTTTTGAGATAGAGTCTCACTCTGTTGCCAGGCTGGAGTGCAGTGGCACGATCTCGGCTTGCTGCAACCTCTGCCTCCCAGGTTCAAGCAATTCTTCTGCCTCAGCCTCCCAAGTAGCAGGGAATACAGGCGTGTACCACCATGCCCAGCTAATTTTTTGTATTTTTAGTAGAGACGGGGTTTCACCATGTTGGCCAGGCTGGTCTCAATCTCTTGACCTCATGTAGCATTGCTCTGGTTCAAGCCGACAGTTGATTAGGTGGGTCCCGTTATCAGAGGGAGATTGTTGGCTCGATCTCTCTTTTTAAAGGCTAGTCAAGTTAAGCAGTGGAAGTGGAGAAGGACTTTTTACCATCTTTCTTTCTCTCTCTCTCTTTTTTTCCTTAGACAAGGTCTCGTTCTGTCACCTAGGCTAGAGTGCAGTGGTACAATCACGGCTCACTGCAATCTTGAACTCCTGGGCTCAAGGGATCCTCCTGCCTCACCCTCCCAAGTAGCTAGGACTACAGGCCTGAGCCACCATGCCTGGGTAATTTTTTTTTTTTTTTTTT